CATTAGTTGGGCCCTGTGTAAGGGTGGCCACCGCAGCTTTTATATTCCTCTGTCTTTATCTTTGTAAAGCCCCTCTATTTTCATCCATACTTTTCATTCTTGTGCCTATACCTATGTTTGATGTCTCTGTGTTATTCCTGGTATTGTCTAGGCAGTAGCTTTCTCTTCCCATTTCATCTGTCAGCCCTCTTCTGTGCATTTCATGTGGTTTCAGAAATGTTTAATTCTCCTACCTGTAAGTAAGCTTCTATAGTCCATCCTCTTGATTGTTGTGGGTTTATTTCTTTGTATTTATTAGCTGGGCTATTATTGCCATGGACTCTTAAAAGAGACAGAGGTAAATGTGTACACCTAGTTCACAGAATTCTTCTCCTTGGGACCTTGGAATTTGTTCATGGAATGATGTTTTAAATTTAAGATTATTCTCTTAAAGTATTTCTGAATCCAAACAAATGTAGTATGACCTTGCCTGCAGCCTCACATCATCAACTAATGTGCATCCAGCAGCATCTCCATGATATCTAGGGTTAGTTTCTTTTTGGTGTGTTTGGATAAATGGCCTCTTTATTCATTTATATTTGAGAGGTAGAGTTGCAGACAGTGAGAGAGAGAGACAGAGAGAAAACTCTTCCATTTGCTAGTTCACTCCCCAGATGGCTGCAATGGCTGGAGCTGGGCCGATCTGAAGCCAGGAGCCAGGAGCTTCTTCCAGGTCTCCCACACAGGTTCAGGGGCCCAAACACTTGGGCCATCTTCCATTGCTTTCCCAGGCCATAGCAGAGAGCTGGATCAGAAGAGAAGCAGCTGGGACTAGAACCAGCACCCATATGGGATGCCAGTGCTGCAGGGGGAGGATTAACCTACTGTGCCAGAGTGCTGTCCACTGACAAATGGCCTTTGCACTAAATTTGTAAGTATCAAGCTCTATCTCTTGTTTGAGGATATTCTATTCAGTGAAGACATGAGATCAATACAGGGCAGGAAGACTGCACTGTCCTCTCTTGAGTGGAAGAACTGATGTGCAAATCCTGGTGCTGTAACAAAGTTAAATTTTTTTCCAGTAGATAAGCCATCTTGAAAGATGACAAATTAGTCGTTATTACATTGCTCACCAAGAGAATCTATGCACATTTGGTAGAGCCACATGGGTTGAAATGTCCAAGCTGATTTATAACTTGGTACATAGGCAGAATAGAGGTAGTGTCAAATATTAATTTACACTTTTTGTTTAATAATTCATGATTGGTATGAAGAACATTACTACTTGGCTGTTTTCTTCTCCATGCTATTTGTGAATTTCAGATTGGTGAAAGTATGGACATTCTTGGTGAAGCCAGCTCCTTTTAATAGCCTGTCACACTGACAGCATCAAGCAATAATTTATCCTTTGCATACTTCTTGTTGACTGTTCAATGATTCAGTCTTTAAAATATGAGATGAAACTATGTCAAGAGGAAGAAAACTCTCAGTATTCTGTGTCTAGAAAGGTCATACAGGGTTCATGAGAACCTACTTGGTTTCCCTGATTTGGGAATCCAAACAATGTTGTGGTTTGGTAATCCACAAAGTGGCGAGTGAGGGTATGCAGTCAGTGAGACTGGGAACTGCAGCCTTCTCTTGGGCGATACTTCACTAGAGCCCAGGCAAAGTTTCTCCAGGAGCAGCATGTGAGAAGAAGTTTTCCCTGCTTCTCAGAGGTCTCCTGGATTTTCAGAGGGTCCGTTTTGAAACATCAATATAAACCGCAGACAGCAGATTTGGTTTCTTTCTTCAACATTTTTAGGGAAAAAAAAACCTCATTCCTAACAGCTTTTTTGATAGCCTGTATATTTCTGACAAGGGAAAGAGAAAGGTTTTTGAATGAAATTCCTTGCAGAAGTTATCACTAAAATATTTCAGACCAAGCATCTTTGACAGAAGACATAAGCAATAAATAGTTACACCAAATTTTCAATCCAGGAAGAAGTACTTTTTAGGTGGTTTTGGGGAGTAAAGCAATCAAAGTGTTTCTATAGGCAGATTTCAACAGATGCCTTAGGGAATTGTTTTTGATTAACTTCAAGGAAGTTGAAAAGAAGAAATGGGAAAAAAGTAACTATAAACATACATTTTTGCACTTTGCAAAACAGTACTGCTGTACCAATACTATGGTTTTATTTATCTATTTATGCTTTTAAAGGTTTATTTACTTCTTATAAAAGCAGTTAGAGAGAGAGAAGAAGAGAGAGAGAGAGAGAAATATCTTCCATCCATCCAAATAACCATAGGATCAGGCTGAAACCAGGAGCCTGGAACACCATCTGGGTCTCCCACAAGGATGCAGGGGCCAAAATACATCAGTCATTTTCCACTGCTTTCCTGCTGTATTAGCAGCGAGCTGGATTGGAAGTAGAGCATATGGGATTCAAACTGGTACCCATATGGGATGCTGGCAGTGCAGGCAGCAGCTTAACCCTCTACTCCACAATGCTGGGGCCCAATACTATGGTTTTTAGCATTGTCACTTGGACAGTGTTTTGGGAGATAAATAATGATATTAATTATTATAACTCTTCCTCATTTTATAGGTGAAGTGAAGAGGTTTAGAGCAGTTTAGACTGCTTGAAATTAAACAGCTATAAAAATAGTGAAGTAGTAATAATGTTGTGACTTGGGACCATAATAAATAGCCATAAAGTAAATGTTGAAATAATATTTGGATATTTTGTCATCATTTGTATATAATTAAGAAAAAATTTCACCGATGGCTTTCAAATATTTACATACCTTGTTTCAAAATTCTCTGATGATAGAAATATTTTACTTTTCTACTGATTTGTTTGGCTTGTTAAACAATTAGTTTGAGTCGGCTTGGATTAGGAAATAGATAACATCTTTCAATCTCTGATTATTGATGTAATTTCTAGCCTAAAGAATAAATAAGTCTTTTTTACTGTTACTATCATGTAGAACTTCACTATTTGTAAAATAATGAAATATGCTTGCAGCCTAGCAAAAGCAATGCAGGTATAAGTTCTCCAAGACCCATGGCTTTTCCCAGTGTTCAGCTGCAATATGCTACAAGCTATTTCTCCATCATGAAACTCTGTTCCAATGTTCCTTGGCATAAAGAAATGGCAAAGGGACTAGGGCTCATGGTGGAGACTGTGAATCACTATGACATCTGTCTGTACACTGTTAACAACAACAAAAATTACTCAATGACACTTGCTAAAGTATGGCGAAGAAACTTCATTCATTGGCACATAGTGAGAGGTAGAAGGGCTACTGTGGGGTTTTTGCAGTGGGGGAGAGAGAGATGGGGCTCAACTCTGAATGAGCAAAGGCAAGCAGGGTGAATAGAAATGTATAGTCAAGGAGCAAAGTGCCAGTGGATGAACAGTTACGAAGAGGATCAGCAGGGATCAGGGGGATTCTGGCCAACTGATCACTGAGGACTTGCCAGGATGGCCAGTCGTTGCCTGAGGATGCTAGGGCATGAGGAGTTTGATTGGATTCTGAACATGCAGACTCTGATGTGAACGCACAGAATTCTTATTAAAATTAGGCAGTTGAGAGGACACGGAGCCCACAAAGTCAATTTATTTGGAAAAGAGCTCTGGAGGAAATGAGCAGAGATGGATAGACAAGAGGATCTTTGTCAACAACTTGTAATTTCTTCCATCACGATTTCTTCTCTAGCCACTGCTAGAGAATCAGGGAATCAGAATAGGAAAGATCAGGGAAAAACGGATGGATCTCTTTTCAGATGTGTATCTGAAATTCAACTCTCTGAAATCATAAAAAGAATTTGGCTCCAGCTCAGTTACTCCCCTTTACTTTAACCCAAAATTGGTAAAGTAATCAAAAGAAAGTCAAAAACATAACACTGCTAAGAAAACAAGACTGATGATCCAGGACTTAACTGACAGGAGGGCATTAGTCATGGAGTAGGACTCAGCAACAGACTGGATGGAACTCATTGAGAAACTTTTGTAGATATACTTTGCTTACTTATGCTTATTTCGTTGAGTCTCAAGAAAGGGTGTGGGTGATTAACAATTTATCTTTTGTTTTTCTGTTTTCCTCTCTTCCTTCAAGTGTGTCTGGTTGAAAATGCATTCAGAGGTCCTAGTGACCAGACACTCTGTACCTGGTGATTTCTCCTTTTATAATACTTCTAGTTCTAAGCATGGTGGTACAGCGATGGCAGCATCTGTGAAGCCCACAGCAGTGCTGGGTCATCTAAGTGGCCAGACAGGGGAGATATAACATGGCCTGGCTCCTCTGCCTCCACTGCCCTCCATTACCTTCCATAGGCACAGGAGCCTGAGGCAAGTACTTCTTTGTCACCAGCCTGGGTTCTAGCTTGGAAGCATGGTTTGAGACAGAACAGGTAAATGGCTGGTGAACCAGCAACTACAACGTGGCCAAATGGGGCCATCATTAAGCAAAACAATATTTGGTTACTAAGCTGAAGTACAAGCAAAGATTGCCAATGATAGGATCCAGTTGGTCACCATTCATTTGCAGGTGTCTGCTGTCATATTTTACTGTGTCATTCTTTATTTTTTAAGGAAAAAATATTGAATTTACAAATAAACAGTGTATATGTTCAAGATGTACAATGTGTTGATTTACATGCATATATGTTGTGTACTAATGATGAATTTATTGCCTATTTACTTTGATTTCTTGCATTCTGAACTGTTAAGTTTTGTGAATTTTTCTTTCACATTTGTTGTCGCCAAATAAATAAAGTAAAAATTCCAAAGACCTTCCACTATCAGTCTAGTAGTAGATATACACATGTAAATCTTTAGAGCAAATGCTTGCATAAATACCACTCTGGTTTTCATTTGCCCTTTGTCATGGAAGTAATTTTAAAAAAATATTTGGGTTCACAATTAGGTAAAAACAAAAACAACAACAACAACAACAACAACAAAACAAAAACAAATTTGTTTTCCCCAATCTCATCATTCTTGTGTGGTAATTAAAATTTATCTTTTATTTTTCAGATTTTTGCATAACAACAAATTATCTAAAATCCCAGCTGGGAGCTTTTCTCATTTGGATTCATTAAAAAGACTGTAAGTGAATGCCAGTGCACACACACACAACCTTGCAACGTTTTCCAAAATAAATAATCTCAACAATTGCCTTCATTTCCTTTTGCCATGGATGACCATTGTGATTCTCATGTGCTGGGGAGGAAGTGGCTTTTTTAACTGCAGAAGACAGAGGATGTGGACAATCCACTGAACTTTCGTGCATTCTCTTAAAAGTAATAGTCAACAAGAATACTGAAGATGGGAGTCTTTTGAGCTGATCATTTCCTTGCTGGTCAACTCTAAAGACTTGTAAGGTTCTTTGTCTTGTAACATTTTAGTAAAGAGGAAATGTGAAGTACTCCAAATAATGCCTTACCCCCTGACCAGGCTTGTGTTGTCCTTTGTTGGGCACAGTATAGTTTATTTCTTTCCATGTTAAACAAAGCAAGACAAAATCCAATCCTCTCATGGTCTCCATTGTCTGTTGGTTTCCAATTTGTCTTACTTCCTATCCCTTTGTGTGAAGTGTTCTCCTTCCCTCCATCTGTCTCCACTCCCATTGTTGTTGTTAATATTCTGGTTTGTGTGACTTTTTTTCCCTCTTCATTATGCACAAATAAGCTCCAGCTTCCTCCATGCTAATTTGGAGCATGGGGTAGGAAATCCACAAGGGTGTACACAGCTGTCTTTTTGTTGCTATTGATCATCTGCTGTTGAGTGCCTGTATACAGGTCCATGAGAAAGGGCGTATTCAGATAAAGTAAGATCAGAGCACTGAGCAACATAAATTCATGTTCAACTGATGCCTGAAATAAGACCTGGAGTGGTTGTCCTTAAAGGAACACAAATAACCAAGAGGACAATTCATCCGCTCCTAGTTCATTTCTCCAAGTCTGCACTCCCTATTTGCATGGGAACACGTATGCGGACATGCACAGTGTTGCTTCACAGCCTTCTCCTTAGGAGGTGCACTTTGTGTTCAAACTCACGGAGGCTTCCATTGATGGTTCTTTTTTTTCCTGACAAGGTGTTTTTTTTTTTTTTTAAATTTTTGTTCTAATGCTGATCCCTTTCATAGACTTTTTTCATTTTCATTTTAATTAAACTTTAACAGATTCAATATGATTTTAGATACAAGTCTAAAAACATAATGATATTCTCACCCTCCCTCCCTCCTTCCATGCCTCCCTCACTCCCTCTTTCCTTCTACCCTTACTTCTCTCTTTTTTTTAAATTTTTGAGATAACATATTTTAAATTTACATTACAGTAAAAAGGCTAAATACTTCACCAAATAAGAAGTTTAACACATAAAAACACAGGGGCTATAAACAATAATTGAATGTGTAAACGACCTTTTCACCCATATACAGTTTTTTTGGTCAGTTAGTCATTCATAATTTCTTTCAATGAAATACAAACAATGACAATGTAACATCTAAATATTTCTGGTGTGGATTATAAGATAATAATTAAGTTCATTTAGACTTTAAGCCACTTCCTTTCAAGAATTTTTGCACAGGAATAGTTTTATGCAGATTGAATTGCAAATATTTATATATTACATTTTTTGTACTCTATTAGTTACCACAGATCAAGGAAAATGTATGATATTTGTCTTCTTGGGAGTAGTTTATTTCACTAAGTATAACAGTTTTGAGTTGCATCCATTTTGTTGTAGAAGACAGGATTTCATTTTTTTATGGCTGAGCAATATTCCATAGAGTATATGTACACATTTTCTTAATTTAGTCATTGGTTGATGGATATCTGGTTGATTCCAAATCTTAGCTATTGTGAATTGAGCTGCAACAGCTGTTTCGGACATCAGGTCCTTCTAGCCTCATTTTTAGCCATCTGTGGGAAATGCAAAATACCAATAGATTTGGAAACATGGCCATAGGATTCTACATTTGGGCGGTGGGAGAAATACTGTGTTATATTTTTAACTTGCCCTGCTTTACTTCTAGTATATTTATGACATCACTTACAGTTAGAGTCACCATCTCTATAAATTTGCAATTGTAATTTCTGTGCAAATTTCTTGTCTATATAGATTTCTTTCTTAATGCTATGCTTGGCATCTGAGACTTCAGAATCTTGAGATGCTAAATTATTGAGCTTATTCTGCTCTTTCTGTATTATTCTTCCTTTAAAATCATAGTAACAAGTTTTCTGTTTTAATCTCTTACATTTATTGAAACAGCATTCACCCATTGCTGAAGCATAAATGCATGAATCATTGCTAGTAACATGAAGACTGAATGAGATGTTCTGATTTGTAACTTACATGTATGCACCATGTTTATATCAAATGCTTTAAAATAATTTTGTTAGTTATGTTTTTTGTTGAAATTTCAATCTTATTGTTGGGAAACTGGCATGCAGATGGTTTGAACAAATTGCCCTACAATCTATGAGATCCTGATTGATCTTCGACCGGGCCCCAGCAATGTAGTTATTCTAAATCCTCAAACATGTGTTCTACTCAGGCCTTAATTTACACAAGTAAAATAGAATGTAAGAGAGTGATAGAGGGCTGAACTACACCTGCTGCCACACTTTATCTTCTGCAAGAAAAGTTTTTCAACCACCAGGGGGCGTCAGCGCACCCATAGCCCATGAGGTGCAGAGAAAAGAATGTGAATCATGTGGGTCCCTTCACTGCTTGAGTCCCATGTGATTCCATGGAGGTCACCTGACACTGGCTTCTCCATCCATGCCACACCATTTGTCACTCATGACAATTCCTCGCATTCCTCACAGATGGACTGTGAGCATTAGGGAAATGCCTCTTCCAGAGTGTTGTGTGATCTTTACCTGAAAGGGTTTATGTAAGTATGGGTGATGCATTACTTTATTTTCAAACAGAAAGGATTACTATCCCTGAAACAATTTTTCCATTTGAAGTTGTCCATTGAGTAGTGAATATGCCAAAGTAGTTATTTCAGTATGGTGACTCTTTTTTGTTGTTTTAAGATTTTATTTATTTATTTGAGAGATAGAGTTACAGACAGTGAGAGGGTGAGACAGAGAGAAAGGTCTTCCATCCACTGGTTCATGCCCCAAATGGCTGCAACAGCTGGAGCTGGGCCAATCCAAAGCCAGGAACAAGGATCCTCCTCCGAGTCTCCCACTGGGGTGTAGTGGCCCAAGTACTTGGGCTTTCCCAGGACATAGAAGAGAGCTGGATCAGAAGAGGAGTAGCTGGGACTCAAACAGGCACCCTTATGGGATGCCGGTGCCACAGGTGGAGTATCAACCTACTGTGACACAGCACTGGCCCCCAGAGTGGTGGTTCTTGACTACACACTATCAGAAAGTAGTTGTCTATTTTTTTCCACACTTGATATAGTGTGTGTGCAAATTGTCGAAATCTTTACTTAGTGTAGAGTTGATCTCCTGTATACAAAGTTAATTTGAAAATGAATCTTAATGGAGAATTGGACTGGCAAGGGGAGAGGGAGGAAGGGGAGGGATGAGAGTGTGGGTGGGAGGGCAGGTATGATGGGAAGAGTAACTATATTCCTAAAGTTGTACTCTTCAAATTTGTATTCCTTACAAATAAATAAAAAAAAATTTTTTTGAATGGTGAAGCTTAAAATGGTAGCGATTTTAAATATAGTATATTGCTAATGTTTGCTATAGCTAATAAGAACCACCTTTCTTGATGGTCTACTTTAGCTTGTTACTTTCAACATCCGTTGTTCTAAAATGTAGGCAATATTCCAAAAATGACTTTTTATTACTCATTTGAAATACTCTACTTAGGTTTTCCACTAGCTACTTCACTTCCCAAATGCCTGCAACAGCCAGAGCTGGGCCAGACTGAAGCTAGGACTTGTGAGTGACAGAGGCCCAAGCACTTGTGCCATCTTCTGTTGCCTCCTGGGTTGCATTAGTAGGACGCTGGACTGGAAGCTGAGATACCAGGACTCGAACCATCACTTTGATATGGGACGTGAACATCCCAAGCAGCGGCTCAACTACTGTGCCACAACAGCCATCCTAATTTTCTGTGTGTATAGGAAAGTTTTTTTCTCTTAATTTAATAAAGCTACTTCATGTAGGCATCCTTTTCAGAGTAATATAATACAATTTAAATACAACACTCATAAACTGAGTGTCTACAAAACTCAGACAATAAATCTTTTAAAATTTATTAAAATGTATAATTTTTAAAGAAAAAATAAATTCACAAAATGAGGAATGACATAATTACTTTCAACTTTTTCTGCTCCAGGAGCTTGATGTTAATGCAAATTCTAAATTTAAAATAGCTTGATGATTTTAAATTTTATTTCTAAATCAGTTCTTTTAAATTTCATTTTTGTTTATTTTCCCAAATGTTTTACTAAGAGCTTTTCATGAATATATGAGTGTACTTGAAAAATAATTATGAAAAAGCAGAATGAAAAGATAAGTTTGTATCAGTACAAGAACACTTTTAAATCTGTACCCTTTTTTTTATAACATGCATTTTCCATGAACTGTTGAAGACCTCCTTATATACTCTTGATTAAAAGTTTTTAAAATCATAGATTTTCTATTTTTCTCAAGTCACATAGAACATTACTTATTATAATAAGATATTATGCAACATAACCCTCCTCCCTGTCATAAATATGTTCATATTATCCTTTTATCTCTGGCGTTTTCTTGCATGGAATGTGACCCAATTACCACCATAGACAGACAGACTTGTGAATTCCTTTCTCCAAGAGCTCCCCTTTTTAACCTTTGAGAGAGATAAAAGGAATCAGTAATCACTTCTTTGCTCTTTCACAATACACAACTTTTGAAAAGAAGAGGGATATAAACCATCAAACTCAATTCTATTTGAGGAGAAAAAAATGATAGAAAGGATGAGAAAGAAGTCCTGTGCCTAGATGAGAAAGTTCTACAAAGACATATGAAGGGCCTGCGGCTACCCACTAGCAACTGCAAGTGACAATCAAGAAGAGGCATTTTGGCCAGGCCTGTTAGTATGTTCAGCCTCTATCCCGAAGGCAAATTGCAAACACAGGGGACATGTGCCCTGCACACTGACGCCCTCAATGATTGCAAGAGAAAGGGCCAGTGCTTGGGCTATCTGCCTGAATCACCCACAAGCACACTGGCAAGCCTTCTGTGAGCCATGGAGCCTCTGCCATTCCTTTGAAGTATTCCCTATGAAAAAGTTAAAATACCATCACCAAATCATAGGGACTCTGCTCTTTACTTGCAAATGCCAGCATTTCCATGCCTACATGTGATGCTATTTACTTATAATAAATGCTAAGTGGCAACTGCTTTTCAAGTCTTAAAGTAGCTTTTGAAAAACATTAATATGGAGGTGGATTTACTCTGTGCAAGACAGGCAACTAAATACGCATTTCTTAAAATCTGTTTACTGGTGAAGAGAAATCCTGCAGGCATAATGTGAGGGGCAAGGGCAATTAGAGAGTTAACTATTTCCGCTCAAAAGATGCTGTTAGCAATTAATGGTCACTCAACAGTTGCAATTCTTGCCTGCTTGCCTAGGCGTCTGGACTCCAATGCTCTGATTTGTGACTGTGACCTTCTGTGGCTGAGGGAACTCCTACAAGGCTATGCTCAAACTGGTCAAACCCAGGCTGCTGCCACCTGTGAATATCCTCAAAGACTCCATGGGCAGTCGGTTGCTTCAGTCCCAGTGGAGCAGTTCAACTGTGGTACGTGATTTTTCTCTGTGGATATAAAAAGGAAATGTCTTTTATTCTCTTTCTGTACAGATTTATTATAGGATGCTGCATTTGGAAGAACGCATTATCAGAACATTTTTAAGGCATTTAGGAGGAAGTAAACCCTACCTCCTTCTTAAGCATTTTCATTTTGTAAGGTTTTTGTCATTATAAACTGTAGAAGCAAGGATAGTACTTAAAGATCACGTAATTCAATCTCCACAGTTTAAGAAGCAAACTATTGAGAAAAGTGATTTATTTATTTATTTATTTTAAGGACACAGGAAGTGGAATCCAGAATGAAATTCTCCACTTACACCTCAGTATCACTTAGTGTTAATCACTAATAATTTAGATTTGTCAATGGCAGATCAATTAATTGCTAATATTCAATAGTTTAAAAAATCCTTAACAAATCCACTACTTTTTATTTGGTTTGTTTTTAAGATTTATTTATTTATTTGAAAGTCAGAGTTATTGGGAGAGAGAGGAAGAGGCAAAGAGAGAAAGAGAGATCTTCCATCCACTGGTTCACTTCCTAGATGACTGCAACAGCCAGGGCTGTGCCAGGTAGAAACCAGGAGCCAGGAGCTTCATATGGCTCTCCTACATGGGTGCATGGGGCCCTGGCACTTGGGCCATCTTTCTCTGCTTTCTCCAGGGTATTATGGATTTGGGTCTGAAAAGAAACACCTGGGTCATGAACCCACACCCAAAATGTATTCCAGCATCACAGGCCGTGGCTTTACCTGCTATGTCACAATACAAGCTCCTGTTTGGTTTGTTTTGTTCATGTATAATAAGACAATGAATATGACTAGAGTAATGGAACACAAACATAGGAAACACATGCCCTGTGCACTGATGCCCCTAAGGATTACAAGGGGAAAGGGCCAGTGGCCTGGGATATCTGTAGCTTGTTGTATCTGTAAATTTTAATATCTATAAATTTTAAATAACAAAAACCTTTGAGTCAGTGAATGAATGTTTATGTTTTTGACAACCTTAATAATCAGCCTTACATTTCTATTTCTATGAAACACAGTAAACTAGTCCACAGTGTCACCTATAGACACAGCTGACATTGATTAAGATGAAAAAAAAAAATAACTCCGAGGTTACACTCCTGGGCTCAACCAGAATCAAAGACTAAGCAACAAACCAAGTGATACCCTTTATTCCATCAACTCTTTACTTCTCTCTCTGCCTCTCCTTCTCTCTGTGTAACTCTGCCTTTCAAATAAATAAATAAGTCCAAAAACTTTTTAAAAAAAGAAGAAAAAGAAGAAAAACACTTTCAATCAAGAATATTATATCCCCCAAAGTTATCCTTTAAAGGTGAAATAGAAGCAAATATTTTCCAGATAAGCACACTGAAATAATTCACCATTACCAGACCAGCCTTCTAAGAAATTCTGAAGGGTATCCTGCATTATGAAAACACATGACACCACCAAATTCACTAACAGAGCAAGTAGGCTCAACAAAACGACAGGCTTTAGTTTTTTGGTTTTTTTTTTTTGTTTTTTGTTTTTTTTTTTTTTTTGACAGGCAGAGTGGACAGTGAGAGAGAGACAGAGAGAAAGGTCTTCCTTTGCCGTTGGTTCACCCTCCAATGACTGCCGCGGCCAGCACGCTGCGGCCAGCGCACCGCACTGATCCGATGGCAGGAGCCAGGTACTTCTCCTGGTCTCCCATGGGGTGCAGGGCCCAAGCCCTTGGGCCATCCTCCACTGCACTCCCTGGCCACAGCAGAGAGCTGGCCTGGAAGAGGGGGAACCGGGACAGAATCCGGCGCCCCGCCCGGGACTAGAACCCTGTGTGCCGGCGCCGCAAGGCGGAGGATTAGCCTAGTGAGCCGCGGCGCCGGCCAGGCTTTAGTTCTTATCTATCATTAATAGCCTTAAATGTAAATGGATTAAATTCACCAACCAAAAGATGTAGTTTGGCTGAATAGATAAAAAACCAGGATCCCCCACGATATGCTGCCTACAAGGAACTCACTTCTTAAACAAAGATACACACAGACTGAAAAGTGAAGCATTAGAAAAAGATAAACCTGGCAAATGGAAACCAAAAGTGAGCAGGTATAGCAACTCTGATATCAGATAAAATACTTTAAATCAAAAGCTGTAAAAAGGATAAGGAAGGGCATTATATTTTGATAAAAGGTTCTATTCAGCAAGAAGATGTAACAATCATAAATATATATGCACCCAACACAAGATCACTCAGATATATACAGAAAATACTATTGGATTTAAAGGAGAGACAGATTCCAACAAATAATAGGTGACTTCAACAATCCACTTTCATCAATGGACAGATCAACGTGACAAAAGGTCAATAAAGATACATCGGAGTTGAAACATGCTATCAAACAAATGGACCTAACAGACATTGTCAGAACATTTCATTCAGCAGCTACAGAATACACTTTCTTCTCATCAGCACATGGAGCATTTTTTAGGATAAACCACAAATTAAGTTAAAGCAAATTTCAAAATATTGGAATACTGCCATGCATGTTCTCTGACTATAAAGGAATAAAACTAAAAATCAACAATGAGAACAACAGAACACTCATAAATACTTATAAATTAAACAAGATGCTACTGGATCATCAATGGGCCAATGAAGAAATTGAAAAAGAAATAAAAAACTTTCTTGAAATAAATGAAAATGCAAACAACATATCAAAACTTGTGGGATACAATAAAAGCAGTATTAAGAGGGAAGCTTATAACATTAAGTGCTTACATTAAAAAAGAAAAATGTCTCAGATCAAAATCTAATGATATATCCTGAAGACTTAGAAAAACAAGAACGAAATCAGCAGGAAATGAGGAATAATAAGCATCAGAGCAGAAATAAGTGAAATTGAAATTAAAGAACAATACGAAAGATCAACAAAACAGAAAATTGTGGGTTTCTTTAAAGATTTTATTTATTTCAGAGTGGAGTTACAGACAAAGAGAGAGAGAGACCAAGAGAAAGGCCTCCATTTGCTAGCTCACTCCCCAGATGGCTGCAAAGGCCAGAGCTGGGCCAATAAGCCATGAGTCAGGAGTTTCCTCCAGGCCTCTCATATTGGTGCAGGTGCCCAAGCACTTGGGCCATCTTCCACTGCTTTCCCAGACCACCAGCAGAGAGCTGGAACAGAAGAGGAGCAGCCAGGACACGAAGTAGAGCCCATAATAGGATATCAGCACTGCATGCAGAGACTTAGTTTACTATACCAGAACACTGGCCCCCAAAAGTTATTTTTTTTAAAAAAGATAAATAAAATAAATAAACCGCTAACCAGACTTACAGAAAAGAGAGAAAAAACTCAAATAAATATTTTAGAGATGAAAAAGGAGATATTACCATTGATACCACTGAAATAAAAAAGGATCAAAGAAACTAGTAGGAAGAACTATAAGCTAATAAACTGGAAAACTTCAAAGAAATGTATAAATTTCTAGATTCATATAATGTATCAAGATTAAATCAAGAAGATATAGACAACCTAACCAGATTCATAACAAGCTATGAGATTGAAGCAGTAACCAAAAGTTTTCCTTCAAGGAAAAGTCTAAGACTTGATGGCTTTCCTACTGAATTCTACAAAACTTTCAAAGGAGAAGTAACTCCAAAACTCTTCAAACTGTTGCAAAATATTGAACAAGGAGGAATTCTGTCAAAATCTTTTTATGAGGCCAACATCACTTTGATTCCAAAACCAGAGATATGACACAAAAAGAAAACTACAGACCTATATCTTTAATGAACATAGATGTAAAGATTCTCAATAAAATATTAGCAAATCATATAAAAACCATATAAAAATCATATGTCACGATCAAGTGTGATTTATCTCAGCAATGCAAGGATGGTTCAACATTTGCAAATTATTATGCTGAGTGAATTAATCCAGTCCCAAATGGACAAATATCGTATGTTCTCCCTGATCCGCAACAACTAACTGAGCACCAAAGGGGAAACCTGTTGAAGTGAAAAGGACACTATGAGAAACAGTGACTTGATCAGCTCTTGTCCTGGCTGTTGATGTACAATACAAATACTTTATCCATTTAGTATTTTTTTTTTTTCGGTTCTAGTACTATTAGTTGAACTCTGTAATTAACACACAATTATTCTTAGGTGTTTAAATTTTAACTGAAAAGTGATCCCTGTTAAATATAAGAGTGGGAATAGGAGAGGGAGGAGATGTACAATTTGGGACATGCTCAATTGGACTTGCCCCAAATGGTGGTGTTAGAAACGTGCCAGGGGATTCCAATACAATCCCATCAAGGTGGCCTGTACCAATACCATCTCACTAGTCCAAGTGATCAATTTCAGTTCACAGTTGATCACACTGATAGGTCTAAGAGTCAAAGGGATCACACAAACAAGACTAGTGTCTGCTAATACTAACTGATAGAATCAAAAAGGGAGAGAATGATCCAACATGGGAAGCGGGATACACAGCGGACTCATAGAATGGCAGATGTCCTAAATAGTACTCTGGCCTCAGAATCAGCCCTTAAGGCATTGGGATCTGGCTGAAGAGCCCATGAGAGTATTTTAGGCATGGAAAGCCAAGGCACTCTGGAAAAAAAAAAAAAAAACCCTAAATGAAAGATCTCTGTGAGTGAGATCCCAGTGGAAAGAACGGGGCCATCAAAGAAGGAGGTACCTTTCTCTGAAGGGAAGAGAGAACTTCCATTTTGACTATGACCCTGTCGGAATAAGATTGAAGTCAGCGAACTCAAAAGGCTTCCATAGCCTTGGCAACTCATGACTAGAGCCTAGGGAGATCACTGACGCCATAAACAAGAGTGTCAAATTGTTAAGTCAACAACAGGAGTCACTGTGTACTTACTTCTCATGTGGGATCTGTCCTTAATGTGTTGTCCAATGTGAATTAATGCTATAACTAGTACTGAAACAGTATTTTACACTTTGTGTTTCTGTGTGGGTGCAAACTGATGAAATCTTTACTTAATATATACTAAATCGATCTTCTGTATATAAAGATAATTGAAAGTGAATCTTGATGTGAATGGAAGGGGAGAGGGAGCGAGAGATGGGAGGGGTTTGAGTGGGAGGGAGATTATGGGGGGAGCCATTGTAATCCATAAACTATACTTTGGAAATTTATATTTACTAAAGAAAAAAAGAAAAAAAATAAAGATAAAGCAAGTTTCTAAAGAAAAAAAATGCAAATCCATAAATGTCATAAATTACATCAATAGATGAAGAATAAAAACCTTATGGTCATCTCAATACATGCAGAGAAAGCATTTGATAAAATTCAACATCCCTTAATGATGAATAACCCTCCACAAATTAGTTATAGAAGGAACATTCTTCAAAATTATAAAAGCTACATATCACAAACCAACAGCCAATAACACACTGGATGATGAAAATAAGGTATTTTCCCTCAGATGTGGAACAAGACAAGGATGTTCACTTCTGCTACTCTTATTCAATACAGTACTGGAAATTTTAGCAAGAGAATCAGGGAGGAGAGAGAAATAAAGGGCAACAAAATTGGAAAATAAGTCGTTATCCATATTTGCAGATGACATGATGTTATACGTGGAAAATGCTAAATGCCCCACCAAAATTGATAAGCCAATTCAGGAAAGTTGCAGGTTATAAAAGAAACGTATAAAACACAGTAGCTGATTGTACGTTAGTGATGAACTCACAGAAAGATCAATCATTGCACTTTCTTGGTGGAATAATTCAACTGTTTCCATGTTTGTCACTTAATTTCTGTGGTTGGAAAATGAGGTCATTCATCAATATTGATAAGTAATTTTGCTCAACCAGGTTTGAGATCTAAAAGCATAATTTTTTAAAAATATATTTATTCTATTCATTTTAAAATGAGATTTATTTATTTATTTGAAAGTCAGAGTTGTATAGAGAGGGAGAGACAGCTTGAGACATCTTGCATTTGTTGGTTCACTCCCCACATGGCTGCAATGGCCAGGGCAGAGCCAGGCTGAAGCCAGGAGCCATGCATTTCATTGGGGTCTCCCATGTGGGTGGCAGAGGTCTAACCACTTGGGCCATCTTCCACTACTCTTTCCAGGCCATTAGGAGGGAGCTGGATCAGAAATGGATAGCCGGGACATGAACCAATGTCCTTACGAGATGCTGGCCTGACCAATGGCAACTTTATCCAGTATGCCACAATACTGGCCTCAAGATGTATAAATTCTTATAAACTGTATGAAGTGGTCAGTCAGATGGATAGTCTAGTGAGAGTCCTTGCAAAATAGCAAGCTCAATTTTGAGAATGTAGTTTGAAAAATTGACCCATAAAATCAAACTCTTTCCATAAATGGGGTTGAATGAGCTACTAGAAATGAAACACAGAGAAATTTACTTCTTTGAAGATTCTTTGACACAGTGAATCATTCAGATTTCTAAAGTTTAAGTGAAATATATCTCTAATGTTAAAGCTGGTAGATGATACGGGGGTGAACACAATTGGCTGTATGAAATTTCAGTATGTAGAGGAATTAAAATTATCTATAGCTCTTTCTCAGCAGTTTAGCATGTTATACTTTTGCTCATTTAAAAGTGCTCACAATCCTTTTGTTACAGAGCGTCCTCGGATTACTTTTGAGCCCCAAGATGTGGAGGTGACTTCAGGAAATACTGTCTACTTCACTTGCCGGGCAGAAGGAAATCCCAAACCTAAGATCATCTGGATACATAACAAGTAAAGGCTGAGCACGATCACTGCTCTAGTTTTGTTTCTGATTCCCGCAATCCTTTAGCTAACTATTCACCTAGAGAAGAAATTACTATCAGAATTTTGAGATAACTATCTTACAACTTATTTTTTGGCTTTCTATCTAGAAGACTTTTTCTTAAAAATTATATATTTCTGGACATATATATTGACTAAAATAAGTTTAGGAAAATATATTGGAATTGTTAGCAAATTAGTTTTATATCTGACTATAATTTGACAAACTATTTTAGATACAAAATGACATTTCATATTTGACATTGCAACTTTTCTGCAGTGAATTAATGTTTTATTTGTTTTATTCTTACTGTAGTGTTTATTAAAAACACAGAATCTTATCTAAAAATCTAAGTGTATAAAATAGTAATAAAATATTATGAAAAACTTAAAAATCATAATGAGTGGATAGGTAACATATAATAAATACAGAAAATGTGCTATTTGCCTGTTATATGTCATGGGTAGTACTTGAACAATTAGATTGTAGATAACTAGCATGCTTTTCATGTATCTCTTCCATTCTTGCACAGCATTTTATTGACTTTCTTCTGTACTGTGCATAATCAATTCTGAATATTTTTGCTTGTTTCTGTGAAACACTGAGATATTACAGTTTTCATTATTTTTGCATACAATTTGGATTTCTAATTTTAGCTAAAAATTCAGCTGTGCTTGTACAATGAGTTTCTAATTCTTGCAGAAAACTAATAAGTATAAGTTAAAAATAGCTTGAATAGATACAATTATGAGTGCTATTAAATCTGGAATCTAGTCCAGGAGAAAAACTTCCATTGACAGAAGACTTCAATTTGTTTGCATCCTGAGACTGTTCAAGGGCACCTGAGAAACCAAAACTGCTGTTTATAATGTCTTAAAACTGCTCACTTTTGTTAGTGTGAATTCAGAAATGATACGTTCAGGTTACAAAGGTACTGACTGGTTCTTAAAGGGACAGGTTCATGTGAAAGGAAGCAAGTACACCTGAAACAAAGGGTTACCATGAAGGAATGATGATGTATAGGTAGAAATGTCTGTTAAAATTTAACTATTTCACACAGAAAAATTAAAGATGAAAGGGAATATGTTATATTTTAACTGATTTATTTCTTTTTGAGTGGCTTTTTTTTGAAAGACAACACATATCCTAAAAGTGAGTGAAATATAAAAATAAAATATAGCAAACAATTTGAAACAAAAATCTATTATTTGAAAATCAGAGTTAAATAGAGAGAGAAGGAAAGGCAGAGAAAGAGAGAGAGGGGTCTACTATCCACTGGTTTACTCCCCAGTTCGCTGCAACTGCCAGAGCTGTGCCTATCCGGAGCCAGGAACCAGGAGCTTCTTCCAGGTCTCCCACACAGGTACAGGTTCCCAAGCACTTGGACCATCCTCCACTGCTTTCTCAGGCCATAATAGAGAGCTGGATTGGAAGTGGAGCAGTCAGGACTCGAACTAGTGCCCATATGGGATGCCAGCACAGATAGTGGTGGCTTTACACTCCATGCCACAGTGCTGGCCCCAAGAAAATCTATTTTCTTATTGGGTCTAGAAAAAATATGATGCCAATTCATTACAAGATGCTTATATGTCTCTCCCTCATCATTTTTCATTCCTTCTCTCCAAGAGATGACTTCTATCTTCACTCCAGGGTCCTTCCAGTCAGTTGTGAACTGATTAGATATAATCAGAACTAGAATTAGAAGGTAAGAAGGTGGATTTGTGGGAGTAAACATTATTTCAGAATGGTCAAGAGACACAGAAACTACAATACAAAAACAGAATATATCCAGAAGGAGGTCCAGAAAAACAGGCTGGAAAGTGGCACTAGAGGCAATGTCTGAGCCATTACGGTGGACAATTTTCCAGAAATGAAAAAATCATAAATTTCAGACTAAGAATTATGTTGATTTTGAAACAAGTTTTTAACACAAAATCCATGGCTAATGTATTATGATCATAGCTTGAGAGTCATGGATAAAATATTTCATTTGAAAGTAATTTGTAGATTACCTTCAAATAAATAGCAATTACACTTGCTGTGAACTTCACATCAGAAAGAAGTCAATGGAAAAGTAAATAACCTTCAATTTTATGTCCAGCTAAAGTTTTCTGATAAGGTTAAATGAAAACATTTTCAGAGAAAGAACCGAGCTTTCCTCAGGACCATACCTGGAGGAAGTGCGAACAGATGTTACTTCAGGAAGTGAGAAACTGAACCCACAAGGAAGAGGTGATATGCAAGAAGCAAGGGTGAACAAAATAATCTCTAACCATTGACAAATATGAATCAACTAAAATCAGCTTCAGACAGTAGTGTAATTATGTATCATGGATCATACTTAATGACCAAAGATATAATTCTCCTGGTTGTTAAGATTCATGAATCTTTCTTTGTATATCTGACAAAATAGCTGCCAAAAAAAACAAAATTGAGATAATAACAAGAATAAATTGGTACAAACCAAATTCTAGTGAGAAATATCAATATTGATTTTCAGAAAAATAAAGAACAAAAATTAGAGGGAATATTTAAACACAGTTGAGAACCCTGATGATAGACACAGGGATTTCAAAAAGTTATGGAAGATGGAATTAAAAGATAAATTCATTTTGGTGCACAAAAACTGTGAAATGTATGCATATATTTTTATAATATGCATTTTTTCATGAAATTTTTGAAATCCCATGGATTTTAAAACCTTTTTGCACAAAAATAAACATTTTTAATTCCATCTCTAGCAACTTTATTTTTTTATTTTTTTAACTTTTATTTAATAAATATAAATTTCCAAAGTACAAGTTTTGGATTATAGCAGCTTTTTTTCCCCTATAACTACCCTCCCACCCACAACCATTCCATCTCCCACTCCCTCTCCCATCCCATTCTCCATCAAGATTCATTTTCAATTATCTTTATATACAAAGATCAATTTAGTATATACTAAGTAAAGATATCAACTGTTTGCACCCACACAGAAACACAAAGTATAAAGTACTGTTTGAGTACTAGTTATACTGTTAATTCACATAGCACAACACATTAATGACAGAGATCCTACATGGGGAGTAAGTGCACAGTGACTCCTGTTGTTGATTTAACAATTGACACTCATTTATGACATCAGTAATCACTCGAGGCTCTTGTCATGAGCTGCCAAGGCTATGGAAGCCTCTTGAGTTTGCCAACTCCGACCTTATTTAGACAAGGCCATAGTCAAAGTGGAAGTTCTCTCCTCCCTTCAGAGAAAGGTACCTCCTTCTCTGATGGCCCGTTCTTTCCGCTGGGATTTCACTCACAGAGATCTTTCATTTAGGTCGTTTTTTTCCCACAGTGTCTTGGCTTTCCATGCCTGAAATACTCTTATGGGTTTTTTAGCCAGATCTGAATGCCTTAAGGGCTGATTCTGAGGCCAGAGTGTCTAGCAACCTTAAAAAATATTTTCATATATTTCTAGTTATAATATTTAATTCTCAGAAATAACTTAATAAATGTTGACTACAATTAATTGTTCTAATCAAGTTTATTGATACTTCTTCATTAAGTCAAATGCATTTACTTGCACATTTTTTTCAAGGAAAAGAGTTAAGTGTGTTCCACTCACGGAAATCTTTGTATTTTACATGGATTGCTACCCAGTTTGCATGAAACTGAGTGTGAAAGGAATATATTGAACCATGACACTATTATCAGCTAGTTTATTAATAATTTTTTTATTTTTAATATTAATATTTGGAGGGTTTTTGTTGTCTATTCAGAGAAGAATTCTGACTACCAGCTCGAATAAATCAGGTGATAAGGTAAGGTTTTAGCATTTATTTAGTGAAAGAAATACACAAGAAAGTGAGGGCTTTATTTAGGGGAGAACGAAATCCAGAAACACAAGTTGGCTCCATATCAAGCACAGAGCAAGCTGGGAGCCACTTAGAGCAAAGCTTGCAAACAGGAAAATAGAGGCATAATGGTGGCCAAAAGGCTGTGTACCCGAAGGCGCAGGACAAAAAGGGCAGGCCCACCATGCTCCAGGCCTTTTATTCACTTTCAAAAGGGAATGGTTAGGTAGTCTGATGGGCAGGCAGATGAACAGGTGAGGTCAGGTAGGGGGTGTGAGATCATAAATGGGGGCAGGGCAAAGGTGTGTTCTCCAGCTCACAAATCTAATCAATTTAATCCTATCTGCTGGCCTATATCAACAGCTTCTGGTAGTTTTTGAAGGAGCATCGTGATTTATGAGCATACAAGTTTTATGAGCATAATGAAGATCTGAGCAAAGAGAGAAACAAACAGGAGAAGGGATGATGCATTCTAAATTTATGGGTGTGATATGCTGTTCTCAATTTTATATCATCTTTTAAAACAGTGCATATCAGTGCATTCTACTGCAGTGTCTAGCCAGATGACAGATAGCAATCACACATCTGGTAGCCTTTGAAAACAGGGTATGGAGCTTTAGAACAAGACTTCAGGAAACTAAATCATCCAAAAATGGATTTTATTGTTGTTGGCACATCTTTTTGTAAACAGTTTCTATTAGACTCAATGCTAGATAATTTGAGAACCATGGTTATGATAACTAAGTTGCTTAGTACTTTATGAGCCTTCTGAATTTGGGCACGTGCTTTCTGATGTTCCTCCCATGTTATATATACTTCATGACTTTGGCAGCTTATCATTTCTGGGAAACTCAGTCTCTGTCTGCCTGTGTCTTGCATAGCTCGCCATTCAAAAGCAATTATGCTTTTTCTAAGGCTAATCTCTTAAAAATGGCATCTCCATGTTCTTATTTTGGTAATTGGTACTTTCTCTTCCACATCAGGCTTTCCTTACCCAATGGTCTCTGCTTTGCTCCTCTATTCCGTTCTGAACTTTAACATGGCCCTTGTCTGCTTCTTCCTCATCTTTGATGACAAACATTATTAAATGAGAATGATGATTTCTCTATCTCTTTAACATGATTTACTATTTTTTTACATGTCCAAGATTAGGCTGAGTTGTTCTTCAGTGTTGGTGTATTTTGAAACTAGAGAATAAACATTTATCAAAAACCTATTTGTAAAGCTAACAGATTAAAAGGAAAGCAATTAGATTCTCCCAATTAACTGTTTCCTCTATGAAATATATTTTTGTTGGTGACCCAAAGCAGGTGTTGCATAAAAATTCATTGAATGATGGATGATTGGATGGGTAGACTTCCTTTTTCTATGCCTGAAGCATTCATTAGTACTAAACTTGCATGAACATCTATCTACTCCCTTTACATGATCATTAAGTAACTTTACTGAAAAAACAATCATGACCAGAAAACAATCTGGGAAAAATTTATGATATTTGTGTCAGTAGCTTTCATCTGTTGCTAAAAATCACCCATTAAAACATTCCCTTGCTTGTGATTATTGATATAATCTGATGCTGTATGTTTGATCCTATTTGTACTCAATGGATTATCCATTGGCTTGATAAAAGGCATTTTGCTGCTATGTACAAAGTGGTCCAGGGCCTAATAGCCAACAACTAAGTAAGTGGAGTGCATTTATTTAATGCTGAGAATTATAATTATACTGGGCTTTGAGTCATGTTGGTTTGAATACAAATATTTATTTTACACTTTACCAAAATGTAGAAGCAGAGTCAATGACTCACAGGTGAAAAGCTTACGTATCATTATCTGATAATTCCCTGTTTCTAAAAATAGCAATTCAAAGTTGTAAAAATTTCCTGAAGCCTCCTTCATGTAGGAGATCGAGTCAGTGTCTGAATGCACGCTACCCAAAGCAAACATTTAAGCTGTGTGCTCTACTATCTGTGTTGACACAAAGTCTGTTCAGGATGTAGTCTCTGAAATGAGATGGGGACAACCAGGATTTGAAGTAAGATAGTTTCAATTACTCCAATAAAAATAGTAACAAATCATTGAACATTGCTAGTGTTTTTCTACTCACTTGTTGAATTCTTTATTTAGTGGAGGGTTAAGATTGTGATTAGAAAGTAAATTAAAAGTATTTCACTGCAAAAATTATAAGAAAAATAAGAAAAGAAAGAGGAGGGAGGGTGGAAGACAGGAAGGGTAAAGTAGGAAGTATCATTATGTCCTTAAAACTATATATGTAAAATACATGAACTTTGTTCTCTTTATAGAAATAAAAAAAGTAAAACTATTTAGAAAGTCCTATATTCTCTATCTCATTAGAGTTTTTTTTAAATATGAGTGTTATTTGGTAACAAATACCATCTATCTACAGCCACTCTCTGGATTTGGAATACGACCCCCGACTTAACATGTTTGATGATGGGACACTCATGATCCGAAATGCCAGAGAGTCAGATCAAGGGGTCTATCAGTGCATGGCGAGAAACTCGGCTGGGGAGGCCCACACGCACAATGCTGTGCTGAGATACTCCAGCCTTCCAGGTAAAACTTGTAGTTATCTGGTTGAACTGGACAAAGACTCATCAGTTCTCCTTTATTTGCACCAGAAAGTGACCTGATAGTGCTTCTTTGAAGCAGGCAATGCTTCAAAGTAGAATTTTTGATGTTAACTGTGATTATTCTCATGATTTTTTAGAGAAACTTAAGGCTTTTTTCCTCTGGAAATCAATTTTAATGCTCTGCCTTCATTCTATTCTTGGGACAGATAGGATTCCCAAACTTTGGTCTTCTCCTTTTGCTTACCCATCAGCTTTCCAGTGTACCAGGTGGAGTCAACAAATGGCACCCAAATAGCAGCCTAATTCTCCTCATAAATCATTCAATCCTCATTCATTATGAATTCATTCAACAAACATTTATTGAAGTCTGTGCCAGCTGAGGAGGACCATGGGTTAACACCCACTTGCATTGCATTTTCCACGAGATTTGCTCTGACACACTTTCAACATCTCATATAAACCAGGCATTATAGCTGACAAATTTTTATTAATGTTATTTTGAGATGATGGAAATACATTGTTTCTCATCTTATTCTGCCTGTGATCTATTAGATGATAGCCATGATTCAAGAAAATGATACATTTTATGATGTGTAAGGAGAGGCGGTAAAAGCTTAAAACAGAGTGATGTACCAGTAAATGCTTAAAAAGTGGCTCTGGGCAGGGGGGACCCTAATTTTCAGCATTTTCCATATTCTGTGGTATAAACAACCAGACCATGGCCACTGTCTGATTACTGAGGTGTTGTCAGCTGGAGAGATGGGCAGTGAGGTGCAAAAACTCACCATGGCACGGTATCCTCAAAATGTAGGGCAACAGACAAGAATAATCTCACAACCATGGATTACAGAATGTAGCCAAATAATCAGAAGTGATGAATTTCATAATAGTATCATTATGATGCAAACGTTGGGTTTCATGACAGTTTAATTGTGCCACAAGGTAAAAATGTAATAATGTATCAGGAATTCTGCTTGCAAAAAACGCATCATGTACTTTTCTAGATAGCTTCAGTTCTATAGTGAAAATGCTTTTATTAACTTTTATCCTAATAAACTTTGTTTAATTATAACTATGCAATTTACCTTTCAATGACAGATGTACTGAGTACTAACTTGCAAAAAATATAAAATTTGGTGAGAGTCACAACCACCAGACCCCTCAAGACTTGGGGAAGAACAGGTAGCCATAGAGGATGACTCTGCAGTAGTTGGAAGATGTTAATAATGTCAACAGAAGTGGCAAACTCAGGACAGAATGGAAGGGGAAGCCTCTGGGGTAGACTTTGAGAGCTGTATTCATTCAGGAGCAATGACATCCAAACTGAAAGCAAAGACATGTGGAATAAAGCCAAATAAGTAGGGTTGAAACATTATTTTGGTAGAAAGGGTAGCATGAAGGAAGACAGGGAAGGGCACATTCAAGAGATGGAAACTGGGGCAGGCATTTAACCTAGCAGTTAGGGAGAACTCATGTCCCACATTGGAGTACCTGGGTTCAACAGCTGCCTCCAGCTCCTGCCTCTAGCTTCCTGCTAATGCAGATCCCTTGAAGGCAGTAGTTGTGGCTCAAGTACTTGGATCCCTGCCACTCACATTGGAGGCCTGGATTGAGCTTCTGACTCCTAGCTTTAGCCTGTCCCATTGATGATATTTGGGAGTTAAAATGGCAGATATGAGAGCTTTCTCTGTATATTGCTGTCTCTCTCTTTCCTCACTCACCTCGATTTTTTTTTTAATCAAACAAAGAAATTAGGAACCTTGAAGTGTATTGATGAAGGATTGTACACATAGGAGATGAGGTCACGGTATTCAGGATCCTATGTTCGTACTCTCAGAGTAACAGGATAAGATTTCTCTATTAGAAAGATACCTCTAGGGGCTGGCTCTGTGGCGTAGCTGGTAAAGCCGCCACCTGTAGTACCAGCATCTCATATGGGCACCGGTTCAAGACCTGGTTGCTCCACTTCCTATCCAGCTCTCTGCTATGGCCTGGGAAAGCATCAGAAGATGGCCCAAGTCCTTGGGCCCCTGCACCAGCATGGGAAGACCTAGAGGAAGATCCTGACTCCTGGCTTCAGATTGGCACAGCTCCAGGCATTGCAGCCAATTGGGGGAGTGAACCAGCAGATGGAAGACCTTTCTCTCTCTCTCTCTCTCTACCTCTCCTTCTCTCTTTGTGTAACTCTGACTTTCAAATAAAATAAATAAATCTTAATAAAGGAAGGAAGGAAGGAAGGAAGGAAGGAACCAACCTCTGGGGAGCTCAGAGACTAAATAGGAGACTAAATAGAGAATAAACAGTCTGTGGGCTGTTGCCACAGTACAGAATGGGGCTGTAGTAGGAACAGGGTAGTGGCCAAGCAGGTAGAGAAGATGCACTGAATTGAGAGTTACTTCAAGAGAAAACAGCATCTTAGTTGGAAACAGCAAAATGGGAATTTCTCTCTTGGTTCACATATAATTTTAAATTGACAACCCCACAAGCTCCTTCCAAAGTTTCTTTCCCTTCTACCTGTAGGTCAAGTTTGACAGAGCACCCAGGAGCATTCTAACTTTGCCTTCCGGCCATCACTGCCTCCTGTCCTTACCTATGATCCTCATCCTTCTTTGTCTCTTCTGCTTGCGTTGTATGCCATGTCCTTCTAACTCCTCTCCCCCTCCTCCCTCCTCCTGTAATTTGGACTGCCTTCATCACATTTTTCCTCCTCCCTTTGAGCTCTCTTTGAATTTTAAGACAATCCCCAGATATTCAATATTAAAATTTAATGTAAAATTTATGCTTTTTATTACTGATATCTTTCTTGCAATTTGGTATGACATCACCTTTCCTTCCTACTTTGCTTCACACATAAATCCTTTGTATTCCTCAAACATAGTTGTACAAACTTCATCTGTTTGCTGTCCCTGTTAATATTAACAGCCACCAATAATCTCAGATTCATCCTGCATTGTGATCCTACCTTCCTCAAATCTCTGAAATTTAGTTGCTAAAGGTGTCAGATAAGTCTCCTTTCCATTTCCACTTCCATTGACAGACTTCCAACAGACTCTTTATTTCAAAAATTCAATAGCCTTTCCTATATGCTCTCTTTCCACCTGCATCTTCTCCTTTAGCATTTTGCCCTAGTTCAATTTCTGTGGTTTTAAGAAAATACCCAAGGTTTTGTCACTTCTAAAGGAAAGAGCTTTACTTTGGCTCATGGCACCAGAGTCTGGTTTTGGGTGGCCACATCTGGTGGGAGCCTTCACCTGGTTTGTACCATGGCAGAAGTTGGGAGATGACCAAGCAAGTGCATGTTTAATTTAAGAACGGAGAGAACCAAGGGGACTGGCCAGCTTTGTTAACAACCCTCATCAGCTGAGAACTAACCCAATTTTGCAAAAGCTATGTTAATCTATTCATGAGAGCAATGATGCCTTGACCCAACACCCTAAAAAGTCCCAACACATCTTATTACTCAGTAAATGCTGAGCATTTCACCATGTGTTTGAGTGGCAACCAACAATACAGGAATCAAGGCACATTTACACTTCCCAAGATGTAACCAACAATACAGAAATCACAGCACATTTACACCTAACTCTAAGATAATTCTTTCCAAGATGGATTGCAGTTTTGAAGACTCTCTGTTTTGCCCTCTGTCTTTGTAGCTAGGCCATGAGTAAACAATGAAATACATGTTTCTTGTACATCTTTGCATTTTTCCAATGTATATTGTTTTACTATTATACTTAAGACATTTATTACTGTTAACAATTTAACTAAACCTTTGTTGAATTAGAGCCAATCAACTCTATCTACTTTCTGGGGTATGTTAATCTCAGTAATTAAGGAGCTCCTAAACATAAACTCAATCAATAGGTATATCTAATACCCTAGTAAGTCTTTAGGTTCTGCTACAAATTGCCAGGAATGATGAGATCTTTATGAATTAGTAAGAATGGAACATCTTCTATGAAAGTCTAAATTTTCTATCTATAAGGATACTTGATGAATTAATGTGTGATAAGCTTAGCTGAAAGTAACCAAAAATTTGATTAGAATTGGCTTAACTACACCTTGATGCACAGGTTACCTCAAAATGCTCACAGAAAATGGACTATAAAACAAGTTGATTTTGGTACAAAATTTTTTGAAACACATTTGTAAGAGGAGTCCTCAGAAAGCTCATGGGAAATACATACTATGAAAAAAACTAAGCATGAATTTCAAAATATTTCTGAAAGAAAATTGTATTTTAGTGACATTTTCCATGAATGCTTTGATGCCCTCTTGTATGTCTTTGTGTGTTTGTGTATATGTTATGTGGGCATGTGTTTGTGTATGTATGAGTGCACATACGTGTGTGTCTTAGTTGGATTCCACAGATAGTGCAGAAGTTCTCTGTACAGAGTTGCCATATTACCCAGTGAATCAATGCTGTTTTACTTTCTTCTTCTTCAATCCTTTGGACATAGGCCACTTTTTCCCCCTCAAAATTGTCACCATTTGGTTAAGAGATGGCTCCTATAAGCTTAACTCATGACTTAATCCAGGCAGCAATCAGGCAGCAGAGCAATGCCTAGTTAGACTGGCCTCCTTTATTTAGGATGGAAACTCCCTCCCTGGTGGCAGATGCTTGCATCTCATTAGTAGAACTGTTTTTTTGGTTTTTTAAGTGTGTAATTTTAAATGGGGACATTTGAATATTTAGCCCTTAAAATAAGGAATAGGTATTGGATGAGCACATTGCAATGCTTACAGTACAATGGCATTAAGACAAGTAATCCTAAAAATATGCATTTGTATCAAATCCACATTTATTTTAGATTTCATTCTCTAAGACTTAATGTGATAGCATAAGATTTTAGTATAAAAGCAATTGTTAATATGACAGTAGTCTTAAAACAATGCAGGGGGCAGCGCTGTGATGTAGTAAACTAAGCCTCCGCCTGTGGCATCTCATATAGCCGCCAGTGTGTGTTCCTGCTCCTTCTCTTTCGATGCAGCTCTCTGCTAAGACCTGGGAAAGCCGTAGAGCTTGGCCCAAGTACTTGGGTCCCTTGTACCCCCGTGGAGATTCGAAAGAAGCTTCTGGATCTTTGCCTTGGATCAGCTTAGCTCTAGCTGTTGGGGCCATTTGGGGAATGAACTCATGGAGGAAGACCTTTCTTTCTCTCTCTGGAACTCTGTCTCTCAAATAAATAAATACAATCTTTAAAAAGGCAATGCAGAGTAAATACACCTTCTAACTGCCACTGGCTGTTTTGTTTTGTTCCCTTCTTACCCTTAGCCAAACCTAATTTTGTAATCCAGCCCCGAGATACAGAGGTTTTAATTGGCACCAGCACAACTTTGGAATGTATGGCCACAGGCCAGCCACACCCTCATGTAACATGGACCAGAGGCAATGGACAGGAGCTGGATGAGTCCAGGCATGTGGTGACTTCCAGTGGACTTCACCTACAGAACATCTCGCTGTGGGATCACGGTCCATTCACCTGCCACGCCAGCAATAACCAAGGTTCTATTCAAGCCACAGCAAGCATAATTGTACAAGGTAGGGAGCAGAAGGTCATAATTGAAATGTTCCTCCTGTCATATTCAGAAAATTATTTTTCATCTTAAAAAATAATGTCATGTACGTGGGGGGAGAGGCATTTTTATTTGCCATTTATTGTTTGACACAATAGAACTTTCAAAACTAATCTGCTTCAAGTTAAAAGTTGAATTTTTTTGTCATTTCAATCTTTATCCAAATGCCAGCATCAACCATTAGCAATAAAAGAGATGAAGTCATTAATCTGGCAGCAAACTGTCAAAAGATATTTGTGCTTCAGAATATTTTACAGGTAAAGGGAAGACACTTCAGCTATGAATGTGAAAAGGCTGTGCCCCAAGTTCAGAGTCACTTACGAAGCTGTCAGCTCAACATAGCTGGAGAATATGCAGAGGGCTCTCACCAGTAGCCTGGCTCATGTAGAAACAGCAATAACAAATCTCTTTTGTACCTGGGAAATAATTAATATGTATGAGCATGCTGCTGTATTTTGATTTTTAACCCAGGGCTGCCCCTTCTTTTCTATGTGTGTGTGTGTGTGTGTGTGTGTGTGCACCTGTGTGCTGGAGCTCAATCCTGTAAACTAAGATGTTCAGTAAACAACAGAATATCTGTTACTGGAGTGATGTCAAAAGCCTGATTCTATCCAAAACAGTTTTTCATAAGTTGACAAGAGTACAGTAATTTAAATGATCCATTTTAAAGATCCCCCAGAGTCATGGATATTTTAACTAACAAGTTTCAGTATTTTCAGATTTATGTTGATTATTTTCTATCAAAGCACTGGGTGAACACTGAGAATCCCCGAACAAAGACAGTTTAGAATTGTGGAACTGACCAGCCTAGGACAGCATTAGAATTTGGGAAATGTCAGGGCCGTGAGTGGTACTGTCTTCCAAAAGATGTAGTACTTCATCCAGCCTAGGTTTCCTGCAGTAAATGTTCTCTGAATTGGATTGTTTAGAATCAGCTTCTTAAGTAGCAATAGATCAATAATGTCTTGTTTGTACTGACATGTCTGAAAAATATTGTGTTTTCCACTAAAAATGCTAATATCAAAAAACCACTTTCTTTGTTCTGAAAAGAAGATATGGAAATGAAACTTTTCCCCTGGAGTCTTTGGTAATTCTTGAGAGAAATTACTTTTAAAGGACTCAAATGTTGTTTTTAGATTCTCCATATGTTGAGACTGAAAAATGCTTTGAAAGAAGTAGTCTACAATTTTTTTGTCCCACATTATTTTTGTTGGATGTCTTTTTTTTTTTTTTTTGCAAGCACATGCTTAGCCACACATTTGCCCTTTAACAGTCTCCTTTATTTCATACTGCAATAATGGTGTGTTTTTTTAGTTTCTTTCATGTATTCCTTCTTCTTTCTATGTGTTCATGTGCAAATAAAACAAGGGATGTTTTACTAAATTCTGATAACTTTTACTTGCTTGGTTTTCCAATCACAATATGCTAAAGCTTTCCTTCTACCAATCAGTTTGCACTAAAATCTCCAAGTGCTTTGTCGTTTATTGCTCACGACTGTGTACTTGTGTCACTTGCACATCTGTGTGTTGACATTTTTAATTGGTCTTGAAAGAGTCTAATACTCACCCTATGCATTAAGACTTCTTTAATTTGCTTAGACTAAATTTTTTTAAGATTTTATTTGAGAGTTAGAGTTACAGAGAGTGAGAGGGAGAGACAGAGAGAAAAGAATCCTTCCATTGGTTCATTCTCCAAATGGCTGCCACGGCCGGTGCTGCACCTATTCAAAGCCAGGAGCCAGGTGCTTCTTCCTGGTCTCCCACATGGGTTCAGGGGCCCAGGCACTTGGGTCACCTTCTGCTGCTTTCCCAGGCTATTAGCAGGGAGCTGGATTGGAAGTGGAACAGCAGGGACACCAGCCAGCACCCATGTGGGATCTCCACATCACAGGTGTTGGCTTTACCTGCTAAGCCACAACACCAGCTTGTTAATGTCTGTTTTTAAGCCAAGGTCATGAGTATTCTTTATATTGGCTGCAACAAATCATAACTAAAGGGACCTCAAAAAAGCTTCAATTAAAGGTATAAAATTCATTGAATTAATCGTGGGACACATAAGTAAAGGGGTTCATTGTCATACATGGTGCAAATGAAAATGTTTTTGATGGGTGGATGTTTTGCACAGTGGTTAAACTGCCTCTTAGGATACCCATAATCCCGTATTAGATTGCCTAGGTTTGCGTTCTGGCTCATGCACATGTTAGGAGATGCTGGTGGTAGTTCAATACTTGTGATCCTGGACAGTTGGTGACCCTTGTGTGGGACCCCACTTTCTTGGCCTCCACTATCTCAGGAGGATCCTTGCCATAGGCAAGAGAGGAATCAATAGCAAGCCAGCAAAATGAAGAGTGTTTAATTAAAGAAAAAGGCAAAAAGCAGGCTACTACTGTAAAGAGTAGCCCTAGATGCAGCCAAGGCTGAACATTTATAGTGTACAGGAAATGCACATTAATATCTGGCTGGGATATACATCTTATTTGTGTGAAAGAGGTGGCAACTTCCAGGCACTGGGGATCTGTCTCTCTTCTCTCCTTGTATGGTCATTTCTGTAGATTGCTGTGGCAATTGTAAACTATGTGTAAACTATGGGGTCACAGCACTAGGAGGAATAATTTTTACTATGCTAATGTATTATAATGAGGGTATCATGAGGCTGTAGGTCTTGTAGCCATTCATCTGGATGTCATATTGGATCCAACTGATTTGAATCAATTCCTTTGTCTGGATCTTGTTTTGTTCAGCCCACTTCCAGGTAGGTGGGACTGTGGTTTGCCAGACACTGTCTTACTTGGGTCCCAGCTACCCAAAACTTCCAGACCTGGATATTGCAGGTATTTACTTGTGAAGTAAACCAGCAGGTGGAAGATTTGTCTCTGTCTCTGCTTGTCTCTCTTCCTTCCTAATAAATAAATGAATTAAAAGTAATTTTAAAAATACTTTTGATATGAATCATCAAAGTCATGAGCAGCCAGAAGGTAGATTTTAATAAAATACCAAAACAGTTCGTCTCAGCAGGTGCTATTTTAACACTGGAAGTGGGACTAGGATGGCCACTATTTTACATGGAAACCAGATATGTTAACCCTCTTGTGTCTGCATAATTCTTCCAGTCTTACTACCTGTCTTGAAATATGTAGGTCATTTTGGTTTTCTCCCATGTAGATTATAATTTCTTCATAAATCCAGGCAGATGGTCATTTTTGTGTAGGGAACAAACATGCACTGATCATGTTCTTAAACTTTTTCTATCCACTGCTAGGATGTGGAATTTTACTTAAAAATCTTTTTTCATAAGAACGTGTGAAGTAAAACAGCACTTTTCTTCCAGGCTTGACTAACAGTGCATTTTTACTACTGTTACAAAAATGTGAATCAAATTTTCCAACATTGGAAGCTTGACTAAATTGCTGACCCTAACTGCTAGCTGCTTTTATTATAAAGCTCTTTTACTATATAATGAATCAATTTTTCAGTGTAGAAATATTTTGTTCTTTTTATGTAATTCCTTGCAATTGTAGGCATTAGTGCAATGTTCCTGAAAGAAATGAGGCTGGGGGTTGACTGACCTATATTCTTATATAGTCTCTGCCACTTACTAGTTCTGACTGAAAAAAATTCATCCTACCTCCCCTGGCCTGAATTTTTTTCTGTCGGAAGGCGAGACTGATAATATGGGTCTGTGGGTTGTTTTCCACAGATTGTTTTTTTTGTAGAAGTTTATTACAAATAGCTTTCAGATATCCCTGAGTGTTTTTATAAATTTGTGTGTTTATATAATAATTTAAAAAAAATCTAGCATGCTACTTAGATTGATGAAGTCTGTTTCTTTTTATTGAACTTTTATTTATTTCATTTGAAAGGCAGAGTTGACAGAGAGAGAGAGAAAAGAGAGAGAGAGAGATAGAGATAGAGAGAGAGACACGGAGAGTGGGGGGAGGGGGCAGAGAGAGAGAGAGAGAGAGGGATCTGGTTCACCCCCCAGACAGCTGAAACAGTCCAGGCTTAACCAATTTGAAGCCAGGAGCCCAGAAACTGCATCTGGGACTCCAACGTGGGTGACAGGGGCCCAAATAACAGGGCCATCTTCTCTGTTCTCTTTCCAGGCATATTAGCTAGATAGGAAACAGAACAGCTGAGTTGTGCTAGCCTGTCAATATGAGATGCTGGGATCACAGATGTCTCAACCCACTGCCACAAAGCCAGCCGTGAAGTCTTTTTTTTTTTTTTTTAATCTTTATTTCCTTCACTCAGTGTGTCACTTAAAGCAAATTCACTTTTTTTTTTTTTAAGATTTTTATTTATTTATTTGAGAGGGAGAGTTATAGACAGTGAGAGGGAGAGACAGAGAGAAAGTTCTTCTTCCATTGGTTCACTCTTCAAATGGCTGCAATGGTCAGAACTATGTCGATCCAAAGCCAGGAAACAGGTGCTTCTTCCAGGTCTCCCATGTGGGTGCAGGGGCCCAAGGATTTGGGCCATCTTCTACTGCTCTCCCAGGCCACAGCAGAGAGCTGGATTGGGAGAGGAGCAGCCGGGACTAGAACCAGCGCCCATATGCGATGCCGGCACCGCAAGCGGAAGGAATAACCTATGAGCCATGGCATCGGCCCCGCAAATTCACTTTTAAGTAGTATTTCCTGTATCATGTTTCTTTTATTTCCAGGTAGCTGAAGGGAACAAGGGTAGTAATGTTATGGGCCTAGGTAACCTAGACTTTATTCCAGGTCTTTGCTCCCACACAGATAAAAATTCAGAGCAGAGACATAAATGCAGTATACAGTGAAAGTTGGATTTATTTAAAAGAGAGAGTGAACATACATTCAGATGTAAGTGTGGACCACCCTATGTGAATAGATACCCTCATGAGTCAGTCAGAGATAGCCCATGAGGAGAGAGAGACAGGGAGGAGGCCAGATAGAGATCCCCATGGCCCATGGATCAAGAAGGGCAAAAGAAGCCCCTTCCCACATTATCAGCCTCATTTATGAGATAGTGAATGGTGCCCTAATGAAATATACAAACAGGGTGGGGTCTGGGTGGGGTTTAATATGTGTGAGGATTTCTGGGATTTTCATGGAGTCTCCATGTAGAGTTTAACTTCCTTGTGGCCATCATAATGACTCCTCCTTTCTGATCCTGGATGAAACACAGATGCATCATGGGAAAGTGGCTGTATTAGACTGAGGGTAAGGGGAAAGAGTTACAATACAGGGCTGGCAGAAATTCCAGCTCATCCATCTCTATTGAGGTTCCTGCCTGGTTACTTCATATCAGTGTGAGTTGTGCAAAGATCTAGGAATCCAGAGAACTGATTGCAAGTTATCTGGGAAAGTTCTTTTAAAAATGTCATCATTTACATATTATTGTACCCTTTTTCAATGGCTACATTGACTTTTTTCATATTTATCAAAATGTCATAAACAGAATGCCTTTCTATAACTATGTAAGATGCTTTTTCAAAGTTTGTGGATAGATGGAATTGAAAGATTTTTTTAGGTGCAAAAAATTTGGAAATACATGTGTACTTTTTACATATTATGCATTTTTCTTTAATAAAGTGAAGACTCCTGATGTACATAGCTAATAGCTATTTGTTATTTATACAAAAGCAACTATAAAATATTTAAATATTTGGAACTCTGAATTTTGACTTACATGTGACTTTTTCTAAAGTGTAATTTCATGTGTAACAACATTCCTCTTTAAGGAGCTTATTTTTCTTTCAGAAATTAATAGAGGAAATTGTTTGATTGTTATTCTGTGTGTGGAGTTCGGAGAAAAGCTATTTGTTAATGATTCAAATATGATTTACAGTTTAAATATGTTCCTCGCAGCCAGTTACTAGAAACTCAGAGGATTAATCATATTGTCACCAGCGGGCCTGGCTGTCTTCAATTCTTTTTCAATGACAGTCTGGGATTGCAATTCAGAGAGAATAAAGCCGGGATAGTAAAGCAAAGTTTAAAGTACATTCCAAGGGAGGAACGGGGCAGTGGAGAGAGCAGACAACACCCTTTCTTCCTGGTTTGGAGCTTTTGTCCCTAGCATATGAGAGGTGTTGACTGGTGATGTGGCAGTAAAGGTCATGATTGGCACCTGAGATTGACACCTGGGAATTGCATACCTTTGGGTGCTCTGCACATGTGGTTATCAACTACAGTTTTGTGGTTTGTCTGAGCTCCCATTTTATCAGCACACTATAATCACAATTCAAACCTCAAAGTGAGCAGTCTTGAGTGAGTCTCAGAGGAGAGCAGCTTGGTTTCTTCCCAGGAGGAGGTCCTTGCAGCCCCTCCCCAGTTGCTAATGTCTAATTATCTATCTGACACTATATAGTAACTGCCTTAAGATGGAGAAATGATTGCTTGTTATTGCCTACTGCTTTACTACTTTGCAAACTGAATGTGCCTACTTCTGGTTTCCTTGCAAGCTAGTACAAACCTACACAAGCACCTACACATTGTTAATATCTATGGTCATAATGAATTGGAGACAAATTCTCATAAAGCATGTGTTTAAACATATTTTTCCTCTTGTCATTAAAAAGCTATAAAATCACTTTTACTCTTCCATTCTTTAGCTCCTCCGCAATTCACAATTATCCCTAAGGATCAAGTTGTGCTGGAAGATCATGCTGTGGAATTTCCTTGTGAAGCAGAAGGCAGTCCACGCCCAGTAATTGTCTGGACAAAAGCAGGTATTCACACATCTACATGGGATAGTGGAAGAAACACATACCTTCTTGTTTTGTAGACTAAAATACATAGTTAATTATCATAAGGATGTCATGGATATGAAAACAACACACAGAGGTCATCTTTATGTATGGCGCCATCATCATTTTTGCAGTGTTTTAAGCTTCAGCATTTGAATGCATTGTTTCCTGATATCATCCTTCCTGGGATTCAGTTTCATGATTTTTCTTGTTTTTTTTTTTTTATTTTTTTTTTTATTTTTTGACAGGCAGAGTGGACAGTGAGAGACAGACAGACAGAGAGAAAGGTCTTCCTTTGCCGTTGGTTCACCCTCCAATGGCCGCTGCGGTCGGTGCGCTGTGGCTCGCACACCGCGCTGATCTGATGGCAGAAGCCAGGTACTTATCCTGGTCTCCCATGGGGTGTAGGGCCCAAGGACTTGGGCCATCCTCCACTGCACTCCCTGGCCACAGCAGAGAGCTGGCCTGGAAGAGGGGCAACCGGGACAGAATCTGGTGCCCCGACCGGGACTAGAACCCGGTGTGCTGGCGCTGCAGATGGAGGATTACCCTATTGAGCCATGGCGCCGGCTCAGTTTCATGATTTTTAAAATGAACTTACTGAGGCTGTCTCATGGTACACTGAGTTATGCTGTCACTTGTGACACTGGCACCCTATATTGAATTGTAGGTTGGAGTCCAGGTTGCTCTGCGTCTGATCCAGCTTCCTACTAATGCACATCAGAAGGTAGCAGAAGGTGGTCCAAGTCCTTGGGCCTTTTCCATACAAGTTGGAGACCCAGATATTGTTTCTGGCTCCTGGCTTCAGCCTGACACAGACAGACCTGGCTATTGTGGACCCTTGGGAGAGTGAGCCAGTCGATAAAGATCTATGTCTTTCTTTCTTGCTGTAACTCTGCATTCCAAATAAATAAATCTTTAAAAATGAAATTATTGGAAAGTTAAGCAGTTTTAAATATTTTTAAAAAGTGACAGCATCCTCTTTGACTATAAGATGAAATTGTGAGTAAAATGGAATCCTAAATGAGGTTACAACATATTAAGTGATACTTTTAAAAAAGCTGCTATTCTAGAACCCTGGCCTCAGAATCAGCCCTTAAGGCATTCAAATCTGGCTGAAGAGCCCATGAAAGTGCTCAATCGGACTTGCCCCAAATGGTGGAGTTAGAAACGTACCAGGGGATTCCAATACAATCCCATCAAGGTGGCATGTACCAATGCCATCTCACTAGTCCAGGTGATCAATTTCAGTTCACAATTGATCACACTGATAGGTCTAAGAGTCAAAGGGATCACACAGACAAGACTAGTGTCTGTGAATACTAACTGATAGAATCAAAAAGGGAGAGAATGATCCAACATGGGAAGCAGGATACACAGCAGACTCATAGAATGGCAGATGTCCTAAATAGCACTCTGGCCTCAGAATCAGCCCTTAAGGCATTGGGATCTGGCTGAAGAGCCCATGAGAGTATTTTAGGCATGGAAAGCCAAGACACTCTGGAAACAAAACAAAACAAAACAAAACAACAACAAGAACAAAAAAAAAACAAAAACAACAACAACAAAAAACAAACCTAAATGAAAGATCTCTGCAAGTGAGATCTCAGTAGAAAGAACGGGTCATCAAAGGAGGGGAGGTACCTTTCTTTGAAGGGAGGAGAGAACTTCCACTTTGACTATGACCTTGTCTAAATAAGATCGAAGTCAGTGAACTCAAGAGGCTTCCATAGCCTTGGAAACTCATGACTAGAGCCTAGGGAGATTACTGACACCATAAGCAAGAGTGTCAAATTGTTAAGTCAACAACAAGAATCTCTGTGTACTTATTCCTCATGTGGGATCTCTGTCCTTAATGTGTTGTCCAATGTGAATTAATGCTATAACTAGTACTCAAACAGTATTTTACACTTTATGTTCTGTGTGGTGCAAACTAATGAAATCTTTACTTAATATACTAAATCGATCTTCTGTATATAAAGATAATTGAAAATGAATCTTGATGTGAATGGAATGGGAGAAGGAGCGGGAGATGGGAGGGTTGCAGGTGGGAGGGAAGTTATGGGGGGAAAGCCATTGTAATCCATAAACTGTACTTTGGAAATTTATATTTACTAAATAAAAGTTTAAAAAAAAGAAAGAGTTAGAAAACTGTCACTAAACAATAAAAAAATTTACAAAAACTGCTGTTCTTATAGTGGGGATGTGTGGGTACAGGATCTGGGAGGCAGTCTATGATCCCTCACACAGAGGGCCCAGGCTGTTCAAAGGCCCCCAAAGATATAGAACAAGATGGACAGCTGGATAGAGGAGAGCTTTACAGTTTTCTCTGGACTTGAAATTCTATCTTCCATATCAGTACAGGCACTAGATTACATTCAAAATAAACCTTTGCTAGTGAATTTCTTTTTTTTTTCCCAGCACCATTTATTGAATAGACTGTCCTTACTCCAGGAATTGGTTTTCGATCCTTGATCAAATATAAGTTGGCTGTAGATGTTTGGATTGATTTCTAGTGAATTTCTTTGGTTAGCATTTTCCTGAGAGTCTGTGAGATTGCAGAAGTGCCTATAGTAGGAAGAACTTGCAGTTGGGAGCCCCACAGCCTAGATTCACATCTTTGTTCTTAATTCACTCGCTGTGAGACCTTAGGCAATTAAAGTAGATGCTGTTTACAAGACTTCATCTATACTGGGGGTGATGATATTTCCTGTCCACGGGTTGTTGGAGGGGACTTGTTTAAATCCATTCAAGCTTAAACATTTAGAACAGTTGCAGTAAATTGCCTGCACACTCAGTGAAGGTTACTTGTTATCTTTTCTTTCTATAAGAAGGTATACAATAAGAAACAAATTTTCATTTAAACAGTTGAGAATGACAATCCTACTGTGACCACAGAGAATGAAGTGTTGAGGAGGATCCAGAGGCTCCCTATGAGCTCAGATAGACGAAGTACAGTGATGGGCTGGGGTGTGCCTGTGAGGATTATCAGAATGAAGTTCAGAGAAGCATCAATCTCAATTTTCTCTCTCAGTACTTTATTTTACATGCTTATTTTAATAATATTGATTTTCCTAAAATGTTGCACTCATGTGATAAGCAGAAGATAGGGAGATATTTGAAATTTCCATTTAATAATCAGGTTGGATATGAAATTGAAATTCTAATTATGGTAAGACTAAGGGGGGAGAAGTACAAGGGAGCCCCTTAAGGGGTTGAGCTGTGCCCTGGTGAGAGGTGAAATTTCCTTGCAGAACCCTGGCAGAAGTTGGGGGCAGGACAAGGTCAGTACTGTGTTTTGGGGTTGTAGCATAGGGACGGGAGATTACAGTACTTGCCCTCCCCAGGGATGTTCTGAAATATCTCTACTTCACTCAGGACAACCATGCCATTCTGTTTCAGCAACGTGAGCATACAAACATATTTCACCATGCTTTCTTTCCTTCACTGCAGGGAGACAGCTGTCCCTTGAAGGCCGGCATACAGTTCTCTCCTCTGGCACTTTGAGAATTGACCACGCGGCCCAGCACGATCAAGGCCAATACGAATGCCAAGCAGTCAGTCCACTGGGAGTGAGAAAAGTGTCTGTCCAGCTGACCGTAAAACCCAAAGGTATTGAGTGCTGTAATTCATTTTCATATCCTGAAGGTAGCACTTCTTTCTGTGTCTTTTACATACTCAGCAGGGCCTTGTTACTTAGAGTCTTTTTTTTTTTTTTTTTTTTTGACAGGCAGAGTGGACAGTGAGAGAGAGAGACAGAGAGAGAAAGGTCTTCCTTTGCCGTTGGTTCACCCTCCAATGGCCGCCGCTGCAGCCGGCGCACCGCGCTGATCCGATGGCAGGAGCCAGGATCCAGGTGCTTTTCCTGGTCTCCCATGGGGTGCAGGGCCCAAGCACCTGGGCCATCCTCCACTGCACTCCCTGGCCATAGCAGAGAGCTGGCCTGGAAGAGGGGCAACCGGGACAGAATCTGGCGCCCTGACCGGGACTAGAACCCGGTGTGCCGGCGCCGCAAGGTGGAGGATTAGCCTATTGAGCCACGGCGCCGGCTTAGAGTCTTTTTTTTTTTCATTCATAGGAAAAAATTATTAAATACTTTTCTTCCAAAGAATCTCTTATATAACTTCTTTGATAACTTTATTTCTATTGATGGTAATTATGATTGTGTTATTAAAAATTATAATTTTATGTTTTCTTAATAAGTTTTTACAACTGATTCATGAGCTTCGCCTGCATGGACAGTCTCACAGAACGAGGCAGATTCTTATGCCTGATGGGCTGAATCTTGATTTACCTTGATGTATTTTTTATGCTCAGGGGTTGGGATTTTTATGGCTCAGACACACTGCTTCAGGCTTATCATGTGGAAAGCTTGAACTTAGGTGGAAATGGAAAAGTGAATGAGCTCACAAAAATGTATAATAGGTGGAACCATTTTATCTCCAAGATTATAAACAACAATCTTTCCCCTATAATAACTGCCCCCAGTAATACCTTGAAGAACCTTTACCTCTTTCCTCTTAGGAAGCAGTTTTTAAATGCTTTTTGGGCATTTTGTCTAAGTTTTCATGAGTTTTATATACTATGAAAGTCTTTTTTTGTCTAAGATGTCTCAGTTTCAAATTTTCTTATGTGTTCTTTTACTATGGATATTCAAATACTATTTTACTTAATGAATGCTTTCTTGAATAAGTTGTTTTTTAAAAAAATATTTATTATTTTTACATGAGAATCAGAGGTGGGGTCAGAGTGAAACTGAGAGCTCCTATCAGTTTGGTTCACTCCCCAAATGTCTACCGTGACAGTTGACTGGACTGGGGATGTGGCTAGGATCTGGGGACACAAACCAAGTCTTGCTCGTGGATGGCAGGAACCCAATTGCTGGAGCCTGCTGTTAGGTATGTGTTGGGCAGGAAGCTGGAGTTGGATTCTGGAGGCTGATGTTAAACCCAGGTACTGCAATATGGGAGGCAGACATCTTAACTCATCGCTAGGCTAAATGTCCATCCCTTCTAAGGCTTCTTTTGTCTCATTATTTAATTCTTTTGGGGAACCCCCTATACTGTATACACTACAGTGCTTCTCAAGGGATGTTATGTCAATCACTTGTGGGGTGGGTTCCTAAGACCTTTTCAGAGGATTTTCTGCTTCAAAACAATCTCACAATAGTATCAAGATGTTATATGGTTTTTTACCAGATTGACATTTACCCTAATGGTGGAAAAGTCATGGTGGATAAACCCACAAAAGTCTTTGTATAAACCATTGCATTGACACTAAATTCAACAAATAACTGCTATATTCTTCACTTGCAGTGAACAAAAAAGCAATTTCACTTAAGAATGTTCTGAAATGGGAATATATTGGTTTTAATAAAGCTCAAACCATGACTTTTTAGTAGGATGTATGATGAAGGAAATTGGCAAAAGAAGCTACCAATCGTCAAAATTTGGAGAGTGTTAAGGATTTTTCACAATTATCAGAAGAAGCTTTTAAAATATGTCTATATTTTCCAAGCTCTTATTTTTTTGAGGTCACATTTTATTGAATACTTCAACCCAAAAGACCAACTGTAGGAGACTGAATTAAAAAAAAAAAAAAACAGTTACCCTATTACTGAGATTTGTAACACAATGTTATTCTACTCACTACTCTTATTTTTGGAAAATACAGTTAATTTTCATAAAAATAGAAGGGTACTTCAAAAACTTAATTAACAAATCAAATTGAAATCCATGTATGGTTTTCTCATGGTACTCAGAACGTTTTGAAGACCACTTATATATCCAATTTCAAAAATTTTTGCACTGAAACATATATATTTTAATTCCATTTCTTCCCACAAACTTGTTGACATACCCTTGTATGTTGTCTATCTGCAAATATTATGAGCTTAAGGTTTTAGTTTTTTGTTTGTTTTAAGATTTATTTTATTTATTTGAAAGGCAGTTACAGAGAGATGGGTAGAGACAGGAGGGGAGAGAAAATTTCATCTACTTGTTCACACCAGACCAAAGCCAGGAGCCTGGAGCCAGGAGCCATCTTTATCTCCAAGGTTGGTGCAGGGGCTCAAACACTTGGACCATCCTCCACTGTTTTCCCAGGCACATTTCAGGAAGCTGAATTGGAAGTGGTGTAATTAGGACTTGAGCCAGCGTCCACAGGCGATTCTGGCATCTCAGACAGCAGCTTTAGTTGCTATGCCACAGCTCCAACCCCTACAGTTGTAGTTTTTAAATAAACAAATGAAAATTCTCAGTTTTAATTTCTATTATTTTAAGCACAGTTATATATACCCTACATAAATAAAGTCTCAGTGCTTGAGAATAATTGTTAAAATAAAGTAAAGGGTTTCTGAGATCAAAACATTTGAGAGTTATTCATTAATTGGATCTTCTTTGTTTTATTCATAGTTATCATTTTTCTCTTAAATTCTTTTTAACTTTATTTCCATGTCTTTTCTTTTCTTTTTCACATGCCTAACATCTCTATTACTATGTTGTCAGTGTGTCTCTTTACACCAGAGATGCTTCTATCCTTAAGTTTTGAAATGGTTTTCCTGCTTGTATTTTTGCTTAAATACAAATATTTATAAAATTATAATTTTATATAAAAAAAACTATGTAATGAACCAATTCCAGAGGAGATAGAAATCTATACAGAATATATGAGGAGAAAATATGTTGCCCAAGATGAGAGCAGAGCAGATACTCAACTTACCCTGTGGCATGGATGCATAGAAAGTTAATTATCCTATATACAATGGGAGAGATCTTCCTGAAGTAAGAGTGTGTGGGCAGCTGCTTGCCCAGGGAAAACTGTCTCATATCTGTGCAAAACTGCATGAACAAAAATAATTAATTATAAGTAATAATGAATATAATTCTGTAATTATAGATTATAATGAGTCCAGTGGCATATTAAAAATACTGGTGGTATTTATTCTTGAAATTCAAGGATGATACAATGGTAGGATTGATATATTTTACTGGATTTAGGGAGGAAAATGATGATTCTTTTCATAGATACTGAAGAGAAATCTGTTAAATTCAACATTAATTCTCATTAAGTGACACAGTTCTGAATAACATGATAAAATAGATATACTGAACTCATCAGCCAGAATCTTGCTAGTAGAGAAATGATATAATGTCTTCATTAAAAAAAGGAATAGTCCAAGAGTTTCCATTGTCATCGCTGTCATTTAATATAGGATTGGAATAAAAAATCATTAAAATTAGTTAAGAGGCACAAGAAATAATAACCAGGAAAATTCTGAAAAAGTACCATAATGAAAAAGGATTTAATCATACTAAATAATAAAACACGTAATATACCTATAGTAATTAAAATAGATGATATATTAAAGGAATTAACTTACATTCACAGCTTTTTTGCATAGATATGAGAGTTGCTTTTTTATTTTTAATGAACTCATAAGATTTTGTTATAAATATTACACTTATATAGAGCATTCATTTACTATAAATTACCCAGATAATATATTAAAACCCAATATATAATCTACAAATCTATTCAATTTTATCAGGGAATGAAAAGTGTGTAAAAAGATGGCAATTCTTCTCCTGGAAGACAAAACAGCAATCCCATAACAAGGGTTAGAGATACCTCGGTAGACACATGGACAAGCTTCAGCCTGTCACCCAGGTTTAGTTCAGGAGATGCTTCCAGGTAGGAAGAGGAAAGATGTGCTTTGCAGAGGCCAGCCATGGTGTGACCTTTCACTTTTGTTATGGATCACTCTCTTCAGGTCATCAGGACGCTGTGCATGGACAACTTCCAGGAGTCCCCTGTGCTTGGTTCAGAGGCCACTTTGATATTCCCGCACTACTCTTCTGTGACTTGGGAAACCCAGCTTAAACCATTGACCTTCATGTCTCTTCTGACCACTAGTCTATTCCACAGCCCCAGCCAGCGGGGTTTCTGCACCCAAAGGGCAGTGAATTCAGGGGAACTACTTGAAAAATGGCAGAAGCCACCACTTTCTGCCGATACCATCCAACCATGGGGGAGATACCTCTCTGTGCACCAACAGCTGTGCCAATGACGCCTTGTCTCTCAACTGGGCCATTGCTCTCTAGTTCTTTTTACCAGTGTTTTTATTGGTCAGGTCAAGTCACTGAGTAAGCAGATATCCAATGAGGGAAATATAGTCCTTTTTTCCTTTCTGAAGGCACCCTCAGTTTTATGACAGCCAATGCACCTCTCCATTTCCAATGAGAATGAAGGATGTGAAGGATGTCTTGTCCCCCGCCACCACCACGACACACACCCATCATGGCACCACCCCAAAGATGCAGACTTCCAGGTCTCCCAGACTGACTCTCCATTGCTAGGTATGGGCAGACCGTTCCTCTTGTAATCAGTAAGCCCTGCACAGAGGGGACTACTCCATCTGCTGTTGGTCCTCTGCTCTTCCAAGATGGCACTAATCTCACCTTTCTCCTCTGCCACAGGCCTTAGCAGCAATACTGGGACAACTGGAAACATCCTCTCTACACCTGTGACCTGTGATTTCAGACACTGTCTGGTCTCACATTTTTCTTTATGGCTCTATTTTGATTCAAAAACATAACTTCTGGGGACGGTAT